AGTGGATGCAGAAGAATCATTACTAATCTGAATGGGATCAACTTTGACAAAAGTCTCATTTTCATGCTTTGATATATTTTCCAGCTCTGCTTTTGATGCGTCCAAAGAATGAGATGGTAGATAAGTCACAGTTTCTGGTAACACAACCACAGCATCGTCAGTAGGAGTACCTGATATATTCAAGCTCTCCATAGTATTTGGTTTATTCTTGTCCATTGTTGAAGCATCAGGAATGTCTTGCAGAACTAGTGGTTCAGATTCTTCAACAACTGTCTGTTGCTGGTGATGACTATCAAAATTCTCAGCAATAGCTACATGTTGAGATGTGATATCCAGAAGGTTTTGCTGAACTGATGACACAGAATCCTCGACAGCACCTTCCTGCTTGCTATTTGTGTTGATATATTCACTCATAGGTATATAATTGTCTAATGGCGAAGGATCTGAAAGATATTGCTCATTTTTTGTCTCAAAAGCATGCATACCTTTTCCCTGCAAGCAACTATTGTCAGAATTCTTTTCAACAACTGTGGAAGTTAGAGATGCTGCAGAAGTTGGAAGACATTCTGTTGAAAAAGACATGGTCGTAGGGGAGACTCCAGATAAATCTGTGCAGGTATCCCTTGTTGCTTCCATTCACAAGTAGGATATATCTGACTCGGCTTCTCTATTCTACATCTGAAACAAATATACAAGTATGAAAGATTTGTTTGATGAAAGTTAGATTCAAGTAGATAGTTTATGTTGCTGTCAAGCACAACTTGTCGATAAATATGCCTATAACCATGTCAAAATGTGACTCATAAAAACAACATCAAATTAGGATGAAACCTACAAGTTTGATGTATGATGTCCACATCATCCACCTTCTGGTCTTAAAATACAACTGTCAGAGTATGCAATAACATACAGTACCTTTTATCTGAGCAAATTTTTCTACTGTACCAATTGATGAGCAGACTAAAGTGAACTCAAATGCAAGGAACAAAACAAAGAATAAAAGCTATCATAGATCATTTCACAGGTTGTATTTCATGACAGAATACAGAAAAAATTCTTACTAAATTGAACATACCATGATCAGGAGTCCAATGTAATATATTGTTTTATTTACTATTTTTTATCATTTCTGCATCTATTATTCTGATAAGCATAGTTTTTAATTATCATCTTCAGAATCAACAACACTCAGATTCTTTAACTCGAGTCTCAACCGAAAATTTCACAACAAAAGCCAAGATATCTTTCTGAACAGTCCATAGTCTGAATGCTAACTTTATACAACAATTTACTGGATTGATCACAAAATCCATCTGCATTTTTTTAAAAGTCAGCATAATTCTCTCAAAATATCACATGCAGTTACTATACATTATGTATCATTGAGCACACTAACAGCTAAAATCATGCCCAAAGTTTACTCTTGGGGAAGAAACAATTTCGTGGTTAATTAATTGCTGATCCTAAAATATGAAAACAAAATGAACCAACTCTAAAGCGTGATTAATTTATGTCAAAGTACAAGACTATATTCTGGAACTATCAATCTCCATCATTATATGAGTTTAGTTTAGTTCCATCTTATTTGGCACCAATATATGAGTATCTTCACTTCCATTAATTTTTCGATGATCATGTAATTTACAATACAAGAGCAGTCATTGACTCTCCTGAGCAGAACTCAATGACAAAATTATTTATTCATTTATCAACCTTGAAACTCTGATATGTGATGTCCTCTACATTCCTCATGAAGGACATGATAACATCAATTACACCTTTCTAACCAGCTAATACCAACTGGAAATTTTGGCTACAGTACTAGAATGATCTAAAGGTGAAAGAAAGAGCGAAGTCATTATAGTCAATTCTTGAAGAAGCCCACCACAATATCTGCATGTAGTCTCTCTGTATAATGCACAGCAAAGTGTTCCAAAGAAGCTATCTAATATGATGGTTGCCTTCATATTTCTTTCCAAATTTGTAAAGAGATTGCACTCCTAAACATTCAGTTAACACAATGGATGATAAATAGCCTAAAATCAGATCTGTACCACTTTAAATTTGGTACCAAAAGCCAATTGATGAAAGATCAAAAAGTGATAGAACCTAAAGCATGCCCTTGAAATGAAGCAAGTTTACCTTGAGTCTCCCAAAGTATTCATGATAGCTCCTAGAGTAACAGAATAAGTCAGGGTTCAAGGTTTTTCCAACAGATAAAAGACATGATCATTGGGTAGATAATCAAGATAAATTATACGACATGATCCCTACTGATAAAAGAAGTAACATGTCAAAACTAACATACCATAAGATGATTCCCTCCCTTAACAACTAGTGATACTTTGGTCAGCTAATTCTTGAAGGATGTTAACGATGATCTAACTGCAAACAAATTATGTGTAATACAGAGAAAAATCGGCTAGACAAAAGATGAAAAGGCGGTACTGCCTCTTTGCTGATGGAAGCACCAAAGATAAGCTCAAACTACTGATACGAATATTCAGCAAGATATGTTCTTGGAATCTGCATCATCCCCAAGCGGCTGCAAAGGTTTTGTGATGAGACCCACTTGATCAACAAAAAAAAAAAAAAAATCCAAAAGGGTCCAAACATTGACCATGTCCTAAAAGCAAGAACCCACCAAGAAATAGCCCATCACGCAACAAGATCTTCCCACGATCCCATGAAGACGCTCCGAACGAGACATTTTTTGGGTTTAAACCGAAAGAAAAGGCAGAAGGCAATCCTCGAACATGCACTAAAGCTCCCATACATCATCTCCACAAATCGGAGTTCTTCCATCTTCCTACCTAGCCATCTAAGCATCTGAATTCCGAACCACCACTAGAATCCAAAACCTAAACTCCAAAAAGATCAACCATCTTTCATAGCCAAAGTTGACTCAATCCAAACTTCCTAACAACGACAAGGATTTTCATCTGAATTCTAGTAAGGTTTAAAACACCAGTATAATCCAAAATCTGATGCCCTTCTTCGACAACCAAAAGCAACACCTTGACTCAAACTTGCTAGCGCACAAGACTAATTCCCATCCAAACCAAAAAGAAGAAGATTAGTACAAGTCAAAAGCCGATCGAAGAGGAGGAAAGAAACAGCATACGTACTCGGATCCTCCCTATCTATCAGGAAGAGACGGTCCAAGCCCACACACACAGCAGAACAAAGAAATCATCCGGACTGGGAGGAGACGGAGTCGGCAAAAAGCAGGCATTCAAGAACAGCGGCGCCAATCACGGGCTAGAGGAGCAGGTGATCCCTCCGGCCCCTCTTCCTCGACCTCTCATCATTCAATTCTCCTCCTACGACTTCCTCTTCCTTCGTCTTCGTCGATAGGCAAAACATTCCTGCTTTATTGTCATCACGATAAAATGTCTCTTCATATTCTTTTATTTCCTCCTCTCTTTTTTTGTTTTTTTTTTTATTTTCCGGTGTGTTGACGGCACTCGGTGGGCCCCAAGGAGAGCCCCACTTGGTCTGAGCTGACGACACGGCGGCACCTCAGCGCCTGAGCCGCACGAACGAGGAGATAGCGATCCGCATATACGCTTTCTGCGTTAATGTTTTCCGCCGTACGCGTCAGAGGGGCAATCGATGAACGGATGAGATTTTGGATCCGTAGGATATTTATGCGGACAATCGATGAGACTTGGAGATTGCATAGCAGGGTTTTGGTGTTTATTTGGAACTGGTCATCATGGGGATGTCATGATGAGATTAACGCTATATGAAAATTTGTGATGGAGGCGATGGCCGGTCCAACCATGCTACATTCGAAATAATATTCTTTTAAAAGAAATCGATATTAAAAGAATATTATTTCTGATATTAAATACCTCTGCAAACAGTGTATTAATTTTAATTATTCTGATTGGTTGATGATTTTTGGAGAAAAAGTTTTCCCTCTCCTTTATTTCAAATGTCGTAGAATGATCTTTATGGGTCCTCTTTAGACTTTTGAAAGGTTTAACTGATTCTCCTTTATATATATATATAAATAAAAATAAAAATTAATCATGCATAACACTCAATTTGCTACATGTTTAGTAGCTTCACTACTACACTAGACATATAAATATATAAATAATAGTCCAAATTAGGACGTCTACAAATTTGGCTGCCCCCCCTTCCCTGGCTTTAGATGAGACCAAGCAGACCCATATGATTAATACGGCATCGGAGGCAACTCAACTGAAGACAAAGGAAGAAGATGATGGAGGAGAAAACGTGGAAATGTGGCAAAGACTTTGTGGAATGGGGGCTACGAGGAAAATGTCATGTGGTTCCAAATCTCATCAAACAGATATTGACAGCTCATTATGTCACATAACGAAAGTAAAATCGTTCGTCTCTGGTCCAACAATGACAAGATGATTTTAAATATTAAAAAAATAAAATAAATTAATGTGCATTTGGAGAACAACTGATAAGTATATTTGTATTTAATAATATATTTTATATTTTTTAATAATATTTAGATAAATAGGTTTAAATAAATGTATTAGTTATAAAATATTTTGAACGTTTGATAAAATAATATATACAAATTTTAAATACTTTATCACGCATCAATTCATATTTAAAATTTACATTAAACCCCTAATCCACATTTAAAATATATTCTCGAATATACCCTATATTTGGATTATTTTATGGATATCCAGTCAAGAGAGCTGGGCCCCTCTTTCGGATGTAACTTTGAGCAATTCTCTGGGATTATTTTCGTTCTATTAAGTGATAAATAATCTTTTCTTTTCTTTTTTTTTTTGTTGGGGTGGGGGGAAAAAAGGAGCCGGGCCCTGATGCCGTCCAATGTGCTTTGAGATCCGTGTTCACGGTGAACCTCGAGCAGCCTATGTTCGACGAGATCGACGACGCTTTGCCGTTACTCGTTTTATAGATGCCGGCGCTTGTCGGGCCAATCGAAGCCAATAATGGGCTTGTGCGAAGGCTCAATAGCTATGAGACACTACGACAGGTGCATGTTACTGCGTTCTGTTCCAGCAGATCCAAGTAATTTTATCAAACAAGTAAATTTACTAGAAGAGCTTCTAAAACAAATGAGCATCTAATGGATGTTGTTCCCCATGTGCAGATTCAAACACAATTGACAGCCCAAGGATCATGGCACATGGTAGCTTGCAGATCTTTCTCTTTTTCTTTCTCTGTTGAAGACGTCGAAGACTAGAACATGGAGAGCAGTCACAGCTCTGCAAACTTCCATGTTCTCATCTACATGTTACCGTCTCGTGGCGTGCAAATTTGCTGTCAGTATTTACAGTATCGAGGTGTAATCTCACACGTATATGTCACAGAATTTGTCTTCCTTCTCGTTCTGGGCTGCTCTGACTGCAGCAACTCGAGCAGCCATGGCTGCCTTGTTTGCTGCTGAAACGGCATGCTTGACTTGCTCCTCCGCCTGCGGGAGAAGGACACAGCTCTCTGCGGCCTTCTTTGCAGCCTGAAGAAATGAAAAAGGATTGGAGTTCAACAAGATCGAGACGGTGCACACTAGTTGGAGATCCGTGTATATATTACCTCGACAGCTCGCTCGACGGCAGGGTCCGTTGCGAGGAAGCTGTTCTTCAAAATGCCGCAGTCCCACTCACCAGATCTTGAATCGCCATTGCCAAACGTGTATGTTCCCAAACCTTGTCTCCTTCCTTCGTGCCATGAGCCCTCGTAGCAGTGGCCGTTGGCAAAGCTGTATACCCCGAAGCCGTGGATTTTGTCCCCGAAGTATTCACCGCTGTAGGTATCGCCATTCCTGCAATCAACCAAGCGTTGATCCTTGGTACGTCCCTCCAATTCGATAACAAGGAGGCAGGAGGTTGGAGCCATTAATCTTAAAGCAACAGAGGAGGACGTCTTACCTGAAGCGGTACCGGCCGAGGCCGTGCTTGACGCCGCACTTGAACTCCCCTGCATAGCAGCTGCCATCGGAGCAGGTCTGCATGCCGCGCCCGTGGCTCTGCCCGATGACCCACTCGCCGGAGTAGCTGTCCCCGTCGTAGAACCGGTACACCCCGAACCCGTGCCGCGCCCCCTGCCGGTACTGTCCGCGGTACCGGCTGCCCCTCGCCCAGCTCTCGATCCCGTGCCCGTCGTACTTCCCGTCGACCCAATCCCCCTCGTACCGCCCGCTGGCGTTGAAACAGTACACTCCACTCCCGTGACACCACCCCTTGTGCAACTCCCCTTCATAGGTATCCCCGTTGCCAAAGAACATTACTCCCTCGCTCGCAGACTTCCCGATCATGCATCCTCTGTTGGAAGCTCTTCCGACGACGTCTTCGCCGACGAACCAACGAACCGATACGTCCTTTCGGGCCGCCCTGAGCTTGAGGAAGCGGGACCAACCGAGGAGCAAGGAGATAAAAACCAAACAAGCAGAGGAGAGCAGAAGGATGTTGACCGTTGCGAAGGCATGATTGAAGTAGAACAGGATGAAGGATAGGAGAAGGAAGAAGGCGAGGGAAACTGAGAAAGTAGCAAAGGAGCAACCACCTTCCATTCTCCCAACCTGTTCTTTGCGCTCTTCTTCGGCGGAGAGAGAGAGAGAGAGAGAGAGAGGGAGGGAGAGAGAGAGACGTCGGTACCGGAAGCCCGGGGGGTAATATAGGGGAAGAATCGATCGAGCGGGTTGGGACGAGTTGGTAGGGGCCACGTCGGCGTCAACGGTGTCTATGGACGGTGTGATGGGTGGAATGACATTGACTGACGTGAAAAGAGCGTGGCGGAGAGGTGCGCGAAGAAAGACACAAATATACAAAGCGAGGATTTGGGGCCCACGAGAGACGATTAGGGTTGGGTTCGGATATGGATCGCTCGGGGAAACGAATATGGGCCCGGGCGGAACGGCTGACGGATACAGGGCTCCGGTGTGGTTCATGGTCGATGTCGGCGACTGTTGTTGACGAGATCGGTGACGTTGGGCGTGACAGGTACGTTGTGGATCGGCTTGCGATGTGTGGATGCGTGTCTCTGACCGCCGCCGCGTGTTGTGCTTATGTCCATGCAACTCACCTCCCCAAATCGGTGATAAGCTTCTGAATATTTAAAACATATTATGTTCATGCAACCACCTCATTTGCAGGACATACCTGACAAGGATATGACTCGATTGATTGTGTTATGTGGATCAGAACACGTTTTTTTTTTGGCTTTGACAGGAATAGGGATGGGTCCGAGTCAGAATGTTGACCAGGATCCCTCGTATTCTTCATTTCACGAGTTGTAACTGCAAGGGTTAATTATACATCGTCTCATCGAGGACTCTTTAATAATTCAGTTTATACATTTAAACAAATTATATTAAAATATTTATAATTATAAAAAATAAAATATTTAATCTCATTTATCCTGACATCATCGGTCTTATCGACGAAAAATATAACACGTGACAGCATATATATGAATAATATGAAAATAATAGATAAAAATATAATTTTAATAATGATGATGGTCGAAGACACCATGAGTGGTTGTTGTACCGACGGTCGACAATAATGACGCAATGGTCAACCTTATCAATGTCGATCCGAACATTGATGATGAGGAAGAAGAGAAGACAAAGCGATGAGGTATCTGTGTCAATGTCAGAGGAGAAAGAGGAGGGAGATGAGATATCTGCATCGGTGCCACATCGCTTTGCCTCCTCTTCCTCCTCCGACATCGCTCTACATCTACTTCGGCGCCAAAGGAGAAAGAGGAGACATATGAGGCATTTGCATTGGCGTCACACTCAAATTCTCGGAGAGTCATTTCATCCAATAGTGCAACGAATTCAAGGAAGGGGAGGTAGGCAACGAAAAGGAGGTAGAGGTTGTAAGCGAGCTCAACGAAGAGGTGCACATACTTCAAGCTCTTGAGCCTTAGTTGCGCATGTAAACGACACGCACACCCCACCCACAACGACGTGGTCGTTGACCTACTTCCATATCAACTTCACCTGTGATCAAAGGGGATCTGATTGGACGACGATGACTAATCATTGCACAAAATGAAGGCCTGAAGAGTACATATTCAATGACGAGAGTGACAACAAACCCTCATCCTCCTTGCTCGTTACAACCATCTTTTTGATACTCTCTCCTACTACCAAGGCACCAGAGGTGAGAGGGAAGGAGGATGAGGGTTTACTATTTCTCCTATCATTGGATTTTGTATACTTTGAGTCTTTATTTTGTGCAATAATCAATCCTTACTGTCGGATCAAATCCCCTTTAATCGCGAGTGGAGCTAATCTAAAAGCAGGTTGACGACCATGCCTCTGTATTCGGGGCATACGCATCATTCACGTGTTGACTAAAGCTCGAGAGTTCGAAGCAAATGTGCCTCATCGGTGAGGCATCTGTGTCAACATCAGAGGAGAAAGAGGAGGGAGGTGAGACATCTGCATCGGTACCACATTGCTTTGCCTCCTCTTCCTCCTCCGACACCGCTCTATATCTACTTCGACGCCAAAGGAGAAAGAGGAGGCATATGAGACATTTGCATTGGCGCCACACTCAAATTCTCAGAAAGTCGCTTCACCCAGTAGTGCAACAGATTCGAGGAAGGGGAGGTGGGCAATGAAAAGGAGGTAGAGGTTGCAAGCGAGCTCAACGAAGAAGTGCACATACTTCAAGCTCTCGAGCCTTAGTTGCGCATGTAAACGACATGCACGCCCCGCCCACAACGACGTGGTCATTGACCTGCTTCCATATCAAATTCACCTACGATTGAAGGGGATCCGATTGGACGACAATGACAATGTTAGGAACGAGTTAGCACTAAGAGGGTGGGGGTTGGTGGGGTGAATTAGTGCAGCAGTAAAAACACGTCGATTCTAAAAATTCTTTCGTACGTTGAATACTAATCGTGAAAATATGCTTGACTTGAAAGCATGTTCGTAAATGTATTATAAGCAATAAGCAAGTAAAGTGGTTTGCAATTAAAGTAAATTGCTCAAAAGAAATGCAAACCAGATTTTTATAATGGTTCGGTCGTCGTGACTTATATCCACTCCACCGATTCCTCTTCCGTCAAGGCCACCGGTATCCACTATCGGTCTTCCTTCAATGGGCAAAGACCAACCACCTTCTACAGCTCTTTCTCCTTTTACCAGGTTTAGGAGATAACCCTTACACCCCCACTTATAATAGGAACAAGTCGGCACTAAGAGGGGGTGAATTAGTGTAGTGGATAAAAATGTCGGTTTCGAAAAATCCTTTCGTACGATAAAATTGAACTCGGAAATGCTTAACTTTGAAAGCGAAGTAAGAGCATATTGAAGGCAATTTGTAGTTAATGTAAATTACAGGAAGTAAATGCAAACCAGAGAATACGCTAATTTTATAGTGGTTCGGTCATCATGACCTACATCCACTCCACCAATTCCTCTTATATCGAGGCCACCAGCATCCACTATCGATCTTCTTTTAATAGACGAAGATCAATCTCCTTCTTACACCCCTCTTCTCCTTTTACCGGGTTTAGGAGACAAGCCTTATAAGCACTCACTCGTCTCTCAAACTATTCTAACACTTAGACTAGAGGAGGATTCTCACAAGAGATTTCTACAGCATTTTTCCCATTTTAAATTCTCTATGCTTGTATGTGTTAACCAGGGACGAAAGAGGTATTTATAGGCTTCAAGTTGATTCAAACTTGGAGTCTAAAAAGGTCTCATCCTAGGTTTCCCGAGTACTGGCGGTACCACCGCCGTTCCTGGGCGGTACCACCGCCGAACAGGGGCGGTACCACCGCTTGCAGCATTGCTGCTGGTGGTACTTGCTAGTCATAGGTGCCTAACAAGCCAATCACGTGAGTAATGGCACGTGTGACTTGATACAG